TTGGGCTATCTCCTACCTTAGTATAGTATTGTTTTTTCAAGGTCTTTATATCAAATACTTCATGATCTGAATTAATTTCAATCCTTAGACAATCTTCAACAATTGATTTTTTTCTTTTACGATCTTCCTTACAGGTCGAGGTTCTTGACTATTTACAAACTCAAAAAACTGTACATCAGTTCTTTTAATTGTTCATTCTGTTTTCTTTTTTTTATTCGTTTTACTTTTATCTTGTTGCTTATTAGGATAGTTACGAGAGATGTGACCCATTTCTTGACACACAAAACATCTACGGAGTTCAGAGTTTCTTTACAACTTCAAACCTTTTGTTATATTATTCACCATCTTGGTAAGTTCATTTACTATTTTTTTAACTTTTTCTAATTTGTTTGATAAACATTCCATTACATAGTATAATTTGAGATTTTCAAATGCTTCTGTCAATTGAGTTATTTTAACATTCTTGTTATCAGATAGAGATGCCTCCTGAGAGAGTGTCTTGGTAGCTTTCTTTATATTATATTCGATGTTTTTATTGTATATTTCGGTATTCAGGGCAATTTCCTTTGCTTTCTCAAGCATTTCTAGATACTTTTCTTCTACTTTTTCTTTAAGTGCTCCTTTGAGCCCAGCGATATATTATCGTCTAGTGTTCCAAAAATATAAATCGGATCAGATTCGGATTGTAATCGAATCCCAACCGTCAGATTAAATTTAGCTTCAAAAATTCAGATTGGGCCTGGATTGAGCAGGATTGGCCTAATTTAAAATTAGAGTATAAATTTTAGATCAATTACGTCATAAGGGTCCCATCTAGAAAATTTTTCAGAAATACAAAAATCCCATAGAATTATTCGAAAATACCTATTAAGTTATCTGAAAATGTTCTTTAATTTTCAAGTAATTTACCTGTATTTTTCGAATAATTCCATAGATATTTTGTAATTATGCGCTTTGGAAAATTTGTATTTCAAATTAATGTCTTCCAATGATTAATAGCTGGGTAGACTTTTAAAAAAAAATCTTATAAAATTTTTTTATAAAATGTCGGCCGGCCATGTTCATTTAAAAGTCTCATGTTAAAAAAAAATCTTGTGAAATTTTTTTTAAAAAAAGTTGGCCGGCCATGTTCATTTAAAAGTCTTATGTCATATAAACCATGACATTAAATTTGTATGGCCTTACGATAGTAGCTTTTTAATATTGAGTAGGGCTTCGTTTCACTTTATTAAATACAACATAATAAATAATAGCTTGTCAAATAGGTTATAGACTATGATTTGAAACAACTTAGCGATTAATATTGTAGTAGAAAATAGTATGTAGTTGTAATATGTTAAGGGTCATATAGCTATAACATCATCGTAAGTTACTGTACAATAAAGACATTTATAAAGTTATTAACTAAATTCTTTACAATAGAGTAAAACAGTAAATAGTTACATCTAACAAAAATGATACGAGAAAGCGAGTTTAGGGGGTGTAGTTTTGGGTCGTAGAATTGTCATATTGCCCTTATAATTTCCAATATGTTTCTGAAATATAGATAAATAAATATTGTTTCGAATAATAATAAAGAAAACAGAATAACTTTTTCTAGAAAAAAACTTGAATCAAAATCGGATTCGGTATTCAAGATTATCCAACTCACCTTTTGTTTTTCCTCGCTATTCCCATTCATCGAAGTTTTAAACAAATATAAAGTCAAATATATATATATATATATATATGGGTATGTGTCAGACAAATTCGCAAATACTTA